GTTATTTCTATATGGGTGCCCTTTTAAAAAACTCATCTGTTATCACCCACACTACTTTTCTCGAACCATGATGTTACATCTCCTTCCTCATTCCTTTCCAAATGTCTTTCGTCCCTACAACATATGCCACTATATAACCCAAGAAACATTACCCATATAAATCAAAATGCTTAAAGCAGTTGCATTACCCATATCTTTTATATTCTAAATTTCATCACTTCACATACCTCCATCTCCGCCTGAGCGCCTTGATCGATTTCTAGTTTCAACCGTTTTTTATCTCTTCACTCTAATGCACCAATTGCAGGAATCTCACCATTGCTGCTTCAAAAGCTGCCGCTCTATCTTGCCTTACCGCCTCTAAGAACCATCCACTCAATTTAGTTGGCCCCTAATTTCATGGAGGTTAAAATTCCATTTTGTTTTCTTTGCTTCGGTTCCTTTCCTTTTTTTTTCTCTCTTTGTGGCCTTCAGATCACTACCCACTTCGAATTTTGACTGTTTAATTGCTCCTGCATAACCATTTTTTGGTTATTTTCTTCCACACAAGCTTTACGATGAAGACAAAAAAATAAAAATAAAGCTTTAGGATAACAAGAGCAAAACTTGAATTACTTTTGGCCTTATGGTGTGCACTTGCTTTTAATTTGTTTCCTTCTCCAATTTTTAATGGTGAATGAAATTGCAGACGTTTGATTTTTAGGGTTTTTTGAGAAGGGGGAAAGAGAGGAGAAAGATGTAATTTGGACAGGTAAAAGTAAGAGCACTGTTAGTAGATTATTTTTTTTTATTACATTTCGAAAGTTTTTTTTCTTAATACTAGCAGTATTTAATAAGGGGTAGATTGGTCATAAGAAAAAGGTAAAAATCTGTCCATGTACTTCTTATTGCGTGCCTTGAGAAAAACCTTCGTTAAATTTAAGGTCAAGAAAGAATTTTATTTTTCGCTAAACTTTTTATTTATATTTTACTTATTATTTTATTTTGCTGTTAATATTTTTAAAA